ATGACTTTATTACTAAACATTTAAAGATGAAAAACTGCAAGCAAAAAAACTGCCATGTCAATACTGTAGATGTTTCCATTCTCTCTCACACACACACATACACACACACTTCTATATAAATCTACATATCCTCTGTTTGCAGTTTGCATGTTCAGTGCAGAAAGGTCTCATAATTAACAGCATTTTTGTGAATAAATTAGCCCTGGATAGGTTATCTGGATATCAATATCTGTGTGGTTACATTCTGGATGATCATTCCTGCCCATAAAGTCAGTTGTTCAGCACCATCTTGGGTATGCATTCATTTTAAAAAGCTTTGCATATATATATATATTTATCTTATATGGTTTTAACTCCAAGTGGCCGCTATTTGATTATCTGATGCACATCAAACGCTCTTAGTTGAGTCTTACAAACTTGCAGGCAGTCAGAAACCACTGTGATGATGTGTACTACTGAATATAGGGAAGAGGGACGATACGACACTGACCTCTCAAAAAGCCAACCATGTTTCTCTCAAATTACACAACATTCAGACAGCACCAGGCAACGGGCATAAATAACGGCAAACTAGACAAAAAGGTCAATTTAAGGTCATGATTTTGTTCACGTTTTTTTTTCATTGTACCAATTGTTTTTAGACTTGCTTACATAATTAAAAAAACTATAAAAATAAAAAAATGTACCTTGCAAATATACATACAGAATATAAGTTTGTAATGTTGTGATTCTCCTTGAAACTAGTTGGTTGGGTTTGTATCTTATATAAATGGAGAATTGAATGGCAAAAATACTTCCTTATCCGAAGCCACTGAAAATGTGAGAATGTCGTCACGTTTATGGCTTTTTTTTTTACAATTGTGAATTTCATCATTCAAGACAATGATTCAGCTTTAGACTATAAGATCAACTGGCATTTCCAGAAAGTAAAACTGTGCATGTAAAAAGGCATATGATATGGAAATGTCCACGATCTTTGGTGTGTTGGGTGATCTACACGGCACGTTATGTTTCCAGCAATTCAGATGGACAGTTTGGCTGGGATGAAAAACAACACGGAGAAAATTTACAGGCGAGATGCGATAGGATTGGCACCCCATTTTAATTAAATGAGACATATTTCCAAAAACACACACACAAAAAAAAAAAAAAAAAAAAAATCTTGAAAATTTGTCATATAGGTGAATATGGAAGCCCAAAAATAAAGCTTTGGTAAATCATAAGTATGACATACTAAGTCATAATTCTGAGATTATGATACTTTTTAATCTCATAATGACTTGTATCTCATAAATACGGAGCCCCTAAAGGTACATGGTGATTGAAAAAATATGATGGGAGGGGAAAAAAATATTTCAATCCCTGAGAAAATTAGTTTGCTCTCAAAATGTTTGCGTTCACATATTTTTTCCATCACCATGCCCCCTTAAAGGGATACTCCATTTTTTAAAATTTTCTTTTTTAAATAGGCTCATTTTACAACTCCCTGAGAGTTAAACAGTCGAGTTTTACCGTTTTCGAATCCATTCAGATGATTTTCTGGTATTTAGAAGAATATCAGTAACCAAACAGTTTCTGGTCTCATTGACTTCCATAGTAGGAAGAAAATATACTATGGAAGTCAATGGGACCAGAAACTGTCTGGTTACTGATATTCTCCTAAATATCAGAAAATCAGCAAAATGGATTCGAAAATGGTGACTGTTTAACTCTGGGTGAGTTGTAAAATGACCCTATTTCCAAAAAAAGTGGAGTATTCCGTACTTAATGCTATCATTGCATTGCCAATTTCACCTTTTTAAGTCATAACCATAACCTTTTATGTCCGAATTATGATTGACCAAAGCATGATGTTTTTCTTATGTGGTGGAAATAAGCTTCCATAATGATCAGAGGGTAAAGGTTGAAACAATTTTAAAAGAGCTGGGCAACATGAGCCAACATCGAGGCAAACACGTCACACGATAAGAGCGGGAATGTTTCCTTTAAAATGAATTGTAAAAACAAACGTGGAAAAGCGGCTGACGTTCGTGTTCTCTGATGGGATGCTTGTTGAAGGCCGGGCATCTTGATTCGTACATTCAGGTGTGAGTCCAGGAACGAGCATCCGGTTCTAGATCAGGTGGAGGTTCCACTGATGGCATGGAACACGTGGAGAGAGTTCTGCAGCAGCGAACGCATCATATCCTCCTGGAAGATCTGAGAACAGGATAAGCATTTCAAAATGTAACGGAAGACTGGATTCACATAATTCACTGATGACATGATCTCTCAAACACACACCCACACACACGCACAAGTACAATTATACAGTGTACAATCATAGGATACACAACTGCATGCACAAATAAAAGAAAATAAGACTTTTGCCAACAAAAGCGGTTACCTAGAACTCAATCTATAGGACATGGCAGCATAAGGAAGAAAAACAGAGACAGGTTAGAAGCGGAAGTAGTAAGAGGTCAGCATTAAAAGAGAAGAAGCACTTTACAACCAATTACTTTGGTTAAAACAGTTGAGGACTCGTGGTTGCACTTTATTTCGATAGTCACTTTAGACAACTATAAGTAACTTTTCAACTAGATGTCAACTAACTCTCATTAGAGTATTAGTATATTATAGTAGACTGTTAGGTGTTAGGCTTTGGGTTAGGTTACTTGTTACCAAGTTACTTGTAATCAGTTGAATGTCTGTTGGGGGACCAACAAAATAAAGCAGATATTAATCTGACAGTCTACTAATACTCTAATGACAGTTAGTTGACATGTAGTTGAAAAGTTACTTATAGTTAGTAGAATATCTGAAGTGGACTATCGAAATAAAGTGTTACCCTTGTTTTAACTAGTGACTAAATTATGTTGCAACAAATTACCACATTCTCATTTCCACTGATAGTTCATTTTTTTAATATTCATGATTATACATTAAGACTTAGGTCACACAGGCGAAAAAAATATTGATGGTTTAACTTAAAAAAGTAAGTAACCTGGTTGCCTTAAAATTTTAAGTTCATTGAACTGGAATACAATGAAGGAGAATGATTTAATCATCAGAAACTCAAAATTATATGTTATCTGAACTAAATAAATTATTTAAGTTGATTTGACAAAAGAAAAAAAAATGTGATTACTACACTGTAAAAAAATATAAGTAAGTAACCGGGGTTGCCTTAAAATTTAGGAGAAAGTGAGTTAATACAATGAAGGAGATTAATTTAATCATCAGACACTCAAAATAATAAGTTATCTCAACTAAATCAATTATTATAAAGTTGATTTGCCAAAAGAAAATATGTTGTGATAACAAATCTTGAAAATATTTTTTTTTACAGTGCAGAAAGCCATCATGTTGTGTCATTATGAGTGTGTGTTGAAAGTAAAGGTGCTTCCAAAGCATAGATTTAAAATAATGGTTTAAAGAGGATGTGTGTGTGTGTGAGAAAAAGTCAACTCATATAATAGAGACGAGAACTGCCGGTTAATTGCACAACATTCACATGAAGAACAACTGTCTAAGGATTGCACTGCATTGTGGCGTAACTTTGTTTTCAAAATTGGGTGGGAAAGGAGAGCGTGCGTGTGTGTGGGGTGGAGATTGCTGGTTATTACGGTATCAGGAGTGTGCAATAATAAAAGCACACACACAAAAACAAAACATTATGATGTCCAGAAATCAATTTCAGTAGTACAGTATATTGAGTTTGATTTATTGACACTCATGTTTAATGTGATAGTTTATCTACTATACTACAATAAACTCAAGTATTTAGATTAGTGAGTAAATATGTAGATCTGATTTTGTCCTAATAGTCTGGTGGCAGAATTTATAATAAGCGTGCCAGAGGTTCTGGGTTCTGCCCTCGTATAGTTTATTCATTTTTTCTCATTAAAACCAAAGATGTTCATCAGCGATTGCATATCAAGAGCAGGGACATGCTTGTGTGCATTTTGCTTTGTGATTTCACCAGAGCGAATAGAGAGTCCACCCACCATTATTACCTGTAATACAAAGCCTCGGCTAACGGCCCTGAACATGTTCAAGCCAGCCGGGAGTGCGAGGAGCTTCCTGTCGCATTATGACATATGTGTGGGAGCGAACTCAGACGTGACGTGAGTACTGTTGTACTGTTCATTGAAATCAGAATTACTTGTGATCAAACAACCTTTTATGCCCTCCAGTCACTGTAGTGCTTTTCCAAAGTTACAAGCCACTCAGCATTTTCACAGCGATATCATGGGGACAAATGACCATAATGAGATTTTTAATATCTCATAATTTGGCAGCAGGTTTATTAGGCTGCTGTCACTTTAAGACCTGACGCACGGATCCATTAGACTGTTACACATGCGTTTTCTTTCTCAACTGTTGACCTTCACTTAAAACATATCTGACTGTCTGTGTTTATGTGAATACTCACCAAGACTGGCATTTTGACATTATTTAGTGCGTATTTGACAGTGTACGGCAATTAGCAGCTCAATTTAGAACTGAGAGGCGGCTTTATGTGCAACACTTCGGGTTTAAGCACAAAATTATGTGCGATACGCGCAATTCCACGGCGAAATTCAAGCCCTGTAACACCAACAATATTCATCCAGAGCAAATGAAACGAATGAGAGGCGGGTTTGTGTCACTCACTGGCAGAGAGAGAGAGAAGAGAGAGAGAGAGAGAGAGCAGCTGGTATCGCTGGTATCTATTCTGTGGAAAATGAGAATTGGAAGCGTTTCAGATATTTCAGTATTGATGTGTATAAAAAAAAATCTAGATTTTGGCCAACAGTGCGCTTAGTTTATTATTTCAGATGCCTTTTTAAAACTAAAATTTAAAATTGCATGCGACACTCGCGCTTCAGACTGCCTTGAACGAGGACCATTTGTCGAGGCTGTGTATTACAGGTTATAATATTGCAAATAATGTTCAGTTTCTTGCGCAGAGATTGCCAAGTTTCTTGCGCATGAGCGCCAAGAGAACACTGTTGCTTTCTGCCACTGATTAGACTGGCAACGAACACTTACCATGACTAATAAAATAAATAAATAAATGTCCCAGATGACCTCTTATCTAACATAAACAAACACATTTCTAAACCAACCAGAGATTCTTTTGGATTAGGTTAGGGCTGGGTATTGAGACAAATTTCACAATTCGATTCGATTTCGATTCACAAGCTTGCAACTCGATTCGATTTCGATTACGATTCAATTCGATTCAATATTGATTATTTTGGATATCAGTTACAATAAATGGCAATTTTTCTCAAGGGAATCAAATCTCTTAACTAATTCTGTAAACTTTGGGAGTCTAGTTGTAGCCTACTAGGCTTCATTAGCCTAATTTGAAGGTAATAATGAACTGTTTTGTAGCTATACAAACACTTAAATTACACATGAAGAACATTAAGATTATAATGCATATGTAATATGGTGTATATATTTAGCAAAATGCTCCTCTCTGGAGTTATTTTTTCTAGCTGACTAACGAGTTTATGTGGGTTTTCTGAGGTAAATATGACGATACATTGATTACAAGCTGCTTAACTGACGTCTTTCCACGGTTGAAACGCTGATTGAGCGAATCAATGTGACATGATACGGATTTCGATAAGTTGTACTCTATGTTTTAACACACTTTCAGATGCTCATTCATGTTTATTTCTCGCTGTGACTGGTATTATTAACATGGAAGTGAGATCAGCGCTGCTGCTTCTCTTGAGCTGAGCCAGAGCGATCTCACGTCACAGCGCCAAAACGCTATTTGTGTTTTTGAATTTCTAAAGAAAATGGACGTAATTTGAAATTTGAGAATTTGTTTCATAATAGTAACAAAGGACAAAGATTATTGCGATTTTTTTGGATGCGCGCAGCCGCGATACAATGAAACAGGATGACTAATCGATTCTTGAGATTTAAGAATCGATATCGGTTCGTAAAAATGAGAATTGATTCATATCGAGAAATCAATATTTGAAGAGTTCAGATGCAAAAGCCTCTAAGTGCCATTTGAAATTTTCTTCTAGAATGATCATTTTTATCAAGCTTGTATATTTAAGTTCAGTGATTTCACTTAAATGGCAATGATAATTACCTATTAATTGTTATTTAAGTGAAATTACTGAACTTAAATATACAAGTTTGATAAAAATCATCATTAAAGAAGAAAATTTCAAATGGCATTTAGAGGCTTTTGCATCTGAACTCTTCATTTATTACCCAGCCCTAGATTAGGTACATCTGTGCCGTGAAATATATCAACGCATATTCCATGACATGCCCAACACTTTTATTGACATTCATATGCAATAAATAGGATTGTCAATTAAATAAACTATGATTGAATAAGTTGAATTTTTTTTAGATTACGTCTCACAGTGGACATGCGCCTGAGATCACAATTTCAGACCCCTTCATGATTTCTAAGTGGGAAGGTGTTCAAATACTTATTTTCCTCACTGTATATTTTCTTTCCTACTATGCATTCTGAATCAAAAAATAAATATTTTCCCCACTAGCCTGCAGCAATCCAGCGCTCGTCTTCTCATTAGGTGTTTTTCTCTTACTGATCATATTACGTGCACCGTTGTTGACTTTACGTTTTTAAACTAATTTGACTGATAAGGATTGCTTGTGTGCGCTGGTGCTCTTATTCCAGTCTTTTACAATATTTAAATGAATGAATGCACGATACATGCCTTCAGCTAATTTAACGATGTTAAATAATGAATTGACCATTTTGGGCATAAACATGTAAATTACATATAGTAAAATGATTGACAATGATAAATGATCTTTGTTTGGCTTGGGCTTGCTTTGTTGGGGCATTTAATATATCATCAACAATATTATTGATCTGCCTGCATTAACACCATTATATGAAAACTGAACTGAGCTGGACGATGACATCACTGCTTTCTCCAGAGCGGCTACATATACAGTCGGATCAAAATGTATTCAGACACATTCAACATTTCTCACATTATCCCAGATTATTCACTGTAGTTTAGAAAATTGTAAAATATGACAAGAACTTTTGGCCATCCTTCTGTTAGACTGTCACAAAAATGCATTCGGTTGAATAGCTGTCAGTTTTCAGCTGTTAAATTGAACTACATAATTAGATAATACCAATTTAGGTTAAGCAATGCTTCATTATGTTCCAGTCTGTGGTGTAAAAAGGTCGCATTCGCAATTAAAGAAAAAAAAACATGGCCAGTTCAAAGTGTCTGAATCATTTCTGGTTCCAAATTTTTATAAATTTTACTGATAGTCACTGTATGAAGAATGTTTGGGTATAATATGTCAGTGTAATTTATTTTGCTATCCTCACTTACATAAATTAAAGGGGTGCAAAATGAAACTTTGGTCTAATAAAACATTGGTACCTAGTCAACCGTTCTCTAAGATTTGTTTTCATGATAATCGAATGTAGAGTTTTATCTCTAAACACTGTTTAGCGTATAACGCTAGTAATGGGGGCATATAATAATTCAAAAGAAATCGCTAGTTTATACCACTAACAAGGCTCAAAGTAGCCCCACACTGACACAGTAACATAATGAGGGTCCCTACATGCAAAACGAAGCATTGAGAACTTTGTAAGTGAACAGACCGTTTAATAAGAAGATACTTTATAAAGACAGTTCACTTCGTGTATACAGACAGGAGCCATCTTAGAAAATAGTCTCGAAAAAGTGAGTTAATACAATGAAGGAGAATGATTTAATCATCAGAAACTCAAAATTATATGTTATCTGAACTAAATAAATTATTTAAGTTGATTTGACAAAAGAAAAAATGTTGTGATTACTACACTGTAAAAAAATATTGTTGGTTTAACTTAAAAAAGTAAGTAACCTGGGTTGCCTTAAAATTTTAAGTTGATTGAACTGGAAAAAGTGAGTTAATACAATGAAGGGGATTGATTTAATCATCAGAAACTCAAAATAATAGGTTATCTCAACTAAATAAATAAATAAAAAAAAAGTTGATTTGACAAAAGAAAATATGCTGTGATAACAAATCTTGACAATATTTTTTACAGTGTGCACTGCAAAAAAAGAACATTTTCAAGATTTGTTATCACAACATTTTTTTTCTTTTGTCAAATCAACTTAGTTCAGATAACTTAATATTTTGAGTTTCTGATGATTAAATCAATCTCCTTCATTGTATCAACTCACTTTTTCCAGTTCAATCAACTTAAAATTTTAAAGGCAACCAGGCTACTAAATTTAAGTTAAACCATCAATATTTTTTTACAGTGGTGATTGTGCCACTTTTCATTTGATTTGATCTTTTTCTCACTTTGGTTTTCAGTGGCATTGCAGAGGTTGTACATTTTACATCAAATGCACAAAAGCTCTGATATGATTTTTCTTTGTTTCATATTTTACATCTAAAAAAAAAACAAAAAAAACAAACAAACCAGCAGTCAAGTATGTAATCTCAGGGCACTATCTCTTTACAAGATCAAAACAGATCAAACCTGTTGTGCTTTAACCGTCCCAACCTAACAAACCTGTCTACCAATCAATGACTGCTAGTCACGAGAGGAGAACAACAACAACATCCAAGTTTTGAAAAACATTTCCTAACCAGTAGAGACATAAAGTAAATTTGTTTTTTGGTTTATTTATAAAGGGAAATGCCCAATTAAAGTAGCTCATTTCCTGGAGTCTAAATGGACAAGAGAATAGATGGTACAGAAGCACAAATTTGTCTAAGTTTAGTTTAATGCACGGGGTCCAAAAGCAAACTAGCCAATCAACAAATGCAAGAGCAGTGTGAAAGTTGCCCTTTAACTTCCTCTATGAAGTGCATCATAACGGATGGTCTGACGTAAGCGATAAGAAAGGTGATAAAAGGTGATGATATACAGGGCAAATTATCCAGATAGAAATTTACTGCACATTTTCAAAGGGAAAGTGACCAAGCAACAATCGCTCTTCAAGATTACCCAGCAATATTGTTCAAAAAGATGCCCTGTCTATCATCACCTAGAGGAATCAAAAACCGTTTTTTTGTCTTGTGTAGTCAAATGAATACAAAATGAGGAACAAAATCATGATGGGTGAACATTTTCAGGAGAGTGTCAGATATGTGAAAGTGATGAGTGGTTTAAATCAAAGTAAAAAACAGATAATGTTGTAACAAAGACATCATCGCCACCAAGATTTCAATTTTAAAGCTAATCTTACATTTTCAGCAAACCCTAAAAGCAGCACACCAAATTACCTAGAAAGTATTTGAACATAGTTTGGGCAAAATTAAATTCGCAGTAACATGTTTTTTAGGAGAAGTTGAAAGAAGAACAAGAACTTCATGCTTGATGGAAATGAAACATACCTGCTCATGGATGATTTCAGACAGTTCTCTGACCATGCTTTTGAAGTTAGCCTTTAGTCCCTCGTGATACTCGTACTGATCCTCTTTAATCAGTCTCTCATTAATGTCCAGAGCCATACTGCATGCATTGACAAATTGCCTGCAGCAAATATAACCAGACAATTAGGCATAACACAGGGGTCTCAAACTCAAATTAACTGGGGGCCGCTGGAGATAGAGTCTGGGTCAGGCCGGGCCGCGTCAAGTATTCCAAAAAAAAAATTTATTTAAGTTTTCCAAAAATGGAGAACAACTGATCCAATCTTCTCAATCTTTATTATTAACGTTTCTTCTGAACTGTTCCTCTGAATTTGAACATTCCTGTCTGTACATGATTGGTTCTTCATGAGCTGTCCTTCTGACAGTTGAAGTTAATTTTACAAACTTTCTTTGTCTTTTTCTTATACACAACATCTTTGTTGTGATGATAGTCATATTTGCTTTTTATTTTCTTTATGCAACACTATTATATAGATTTTTTTTTTTTTTTCCAAAAGGCACATTTCCTTTTATTATACTTAGAAAAACAATTAGGCCTACTGCTTTTGAAATACAAATAATTCTTTCTACATCAGGCAAATTACTGACTTTGCACATATCAAAGCAAACCTTCTTAACAACCCGTTGGACCAAGTTCATTACATGAACTAGTTCAAAGTTCAATTCACAAATTTTAAAATGAACTAGTTCAGTTCATATTTGAAAAATGAACTAGTTACTTTTTTTTCCATATGTTGCTGCGAGCTTCTTTTTTATTATTAGGCTATTATTATTGCCACAACCCATATACAACCACAGATAACAATCATTTTATCGACGGGCAAAGTTTGCACAGACATGTAAGATTTTCCCATCCTCACCGACCTCATAAAAGCCTTTTGAATGATCTTACGACGCCTCCTCGCTCCTCGGTTCACAACCACTTGAATGAACGAGTTCACTGTAACGTTCATCAGGCAGTAATACAGTAGGCTACGTTCAGTTCACGTTCGCCCAAAATATGAACGAGTTCATTAACTATCGTTCATTGAACGCGTTCAGACACAACACATATTACAAGCTCAAAACGATTATTCTCACATTGTTTTAGAGCAGGGGTATCCAACACGTCGCTCGCTCAAGTACGTTTCAAATGTAGGCGCGCAGCAAGCGCCGAGCGCGCTCATAATTGAAGCGACGCGCTCATTTTTTTTTTTCAGGCGCAGTATATTTGTACTTCGTGACTGTCTATGACAACTATTGATGACAAACCCAAGGTAAGCTGTCACGAGACTATATATGGTAGCCCATAAGGGATAAAAATAATAATAATAAAAACGCGGCCAACGCAACGGCGGGCCGCACTAACATTAAAGTTTAATATCAAGTAGGGGGCCACAAAATATCATCGGCCGCGAGTTTGAGACCTCTGGCATAACAGAAACAATTGAATCAAGAAGTTTGTGTGCATATATCATTTTCTATCATCTAGCGACTAAACAACTTCAAAAGCTTCAGATGATTTGCTTTGACGTCTTATTTGATGGGGGGAAATTTGACTTGTATTATAAAAACAAACTGCGTTTGGAGAAAACTTAAACTGTCATATAAATGTCATCGAAAGTGGCTACAAATTCCTGAGCCAAATCCAAGAATGAGATGCGCTGGTTAGATAACAGACGCATTCCTGCAACATGGCAAGATGATACATGCTGTTGAATATACACTACAGTGAGTGCAGTCGGTTTCTTCCTGAACAGGACTAACTTCATCTTCACCTATTTATAGAACACTTACTGTTGTATTAAAATCCAAGTTATTGAGAAAGAAAGCTTCAGGAGAGCCTTTTTATAACTTTTATTAATAAATACAACATACCTGAATATTTCTTTGAGCTCCTTGACTTTCTTATTGGGTTGACCTGATTTGGATTCATCCAGGAAAGCTCGGGCATAGGCCATCGGTCCCGCGTTCACCTATAAGCCCAAAAACGATATTACTGTAGACACATGTTATGGTTGCGTCACAAACCATTATCAATGACTTCATGCGCAAAATATTACAATTATAGGTCATAAATGTAAAAATGCTTGTTAAATTTAATGTTTCCCTGTTCCAGGGCAACAGGAATGTTGTTTTACATGTAATTAACTTTATTGGCGTTCTGTCCTCTTAAAGGTGCAGTAAGCGATTTCTGATAATGGAAATCAAGTCAAACAAACACACGCCTCCCTTCATTGCTCCGCCCCCAAAATGCATTAAAGGGCACCTATTATGGAAAATTCACTTTTACATGGTGTTTGAACATAAATGTGTGTTGGCAGTGTGTGAGCAAAACCACCCTAGAATGATAAAAATCCATCCAGTAGTTTTTTTACAATCTCAATAAATCATCTGCACTGCCTCAGAACGAGCTGTTCTGAGATCCAGGTCTTTGTGACGTAGAACGGGAGACAGGGGGTTGATTGACAGTGTGGCTGTGGCCTAGACCCCGCCCTCGGTGATCTGTACACACCATCCTTCATTGTTTCAACGACGACAGCCGGTAATGTCTCTTGGAAACGTAAATTAATGTTCTGTCGTGGACTCGTGGGTTAATCCTGTTGTTGTGGCTTAAAAGTTAATCCTCAAGTGTGGATTCTTGTCTACTGTTTGCGATCCACCGTCACCTCCAGTAACAGTAAGTGTATTTTATGATTTTTGAGCAAATAGTCTTTTCAGTCAATGTCAGCCAATTCAACAACAAATGCGTCTAAAGTTATTGCCGTCGTAGGATGTCTGTGTATATAATTTAAAACCTTGTTTGTATAGTGTGTAACCACACGTTTATAAATATATATATTTTTAAATATATTGTATTAAAAACTGCATATATGTTGGTGTTCTGTAAGTTAGCCATCTTCTCACATTTGCCACAGAAGCACCCGTATGACAAGCTAAACATGATGCCACAGGTCCCTCGCATAAATGTAATTTCGCTCGTACGTAGCAAACTTTATCACAGAATGTGTATGTAGTTTCAAAAACTTGCGCTAGTGTCTGTGTGTGTGTGTGTGTGTTGGACATCCATCATTTCAAATGGGACGCTATTACAACTCTAAAGTACATAAAAGTAGCAAATAACCATACCGAGACGTACTGGTCCATTCTCATATGTTTATTCTGCCGGAGTCTCTTCATGCTATTTATATATTCCGATTCAAACGTACGGCTGAATGACATTCAAAACGGCGCGTCTCTTCACTCTCTCAGTACCGACTGCCTGCCATAGGTATCAAGTTACGCCCTCATCCAAAGGCAGGGCGGGGATATGCAGCTCATTTGCATTTAAGGTGGAATACCCCCTGAAACAGCTCATTTTTAAGCAGGCCCCAAAATGACATTTTCAAATGGTTATAATAAATTAACTGTGGGGTATTTTGACCTGAAACTTCACAAATACATTCTGGGGACACCTGAGACCAATATTACATCTTGTAAAAAGGGGCATAATAGGTGCCCTTTAAACACTCGATGCAAGGGCGGATGTCGCTTTATCATAGCTGAAATAAAACTTCACAAAAAATAAAGTGAAGATGGCAAATGAACTACAAGGAGGAACAAACAACGAACATGCAGTACACTAGAGTAAATACAGCAAGGACACTCCAAACTGTCCTGTCACTCAAGCTCACATCACAACAGCATGTCTTGATTCTGTGAAACAGAGCAAAACCAATGTAACTCGCGTATGAAGCAGAAGTAACGCAACTTCTGTGTCTGTTTTTAGGCCTTCCTGCTCAGGTTCAGTCTTTCTTCAAATCTCCCTCTCCTCCCCCATTATGAATGGACACACCCCCAAATGCTGATTGGCTACAAGTGTGTCGGTCGAATCCACTTTCAAGAGTGCTTCTCAGACATCACTTACTGCACCTTTAATAAACACATTAGTGTTGCATTATTTTTTTACTTAATTTATTATCATCATGTAAACACAATTGGCTTTATGCCCAGCTGCACTACTTCCTGAACTTCAGCCAGCTCCTTGTTTCCTGTCTGCCATTATTGGACAAATTGATTAATTCAGGTGTGTCTGATTATTGTTGCCATGACTACTGAGGTCAGGTACACCTGAATTAATCAATTTGGCCAATAATGGCAGACAGGAAACAAGGAGCTGGCTGAAGTTCAGGAAGTAGTGCAGCTGGGCATAAAGCCCATTGGTGGATTATAAGGGTTTTGCGTGCTACAATTGAAGAACTGAGAATAATGTGGAGCGATATTATCCATGATTGTTAATTGTAATATTATTTTCATGATAACTTGAACATGATAACATATTTCTCACCCAATTCTCATTGACCTAATGCATGAACAACATTATGGGAAGCACGAAAGCAAAATGCATAAACATCTCGTTCTCATTTTTATAATGGGGGGAAAGCTGATTTTAATAGGAAAAACACAGCATTACAAATTATAATAAATTGAATACAAATTAAAAAAAAATATATTTTGAAATCAGTTTAAATTGAAGGCAGTATAACAAATACTACCATGATGTATAAACACATTGTAGATAAATATATAATTTTTTTTTTTTAACAGAGATTAAGTAATGAGATTTCTTTTTGGGGAATTTTGTGGAAAATGTGCTTAAAGGAGTAGTTCACTTTAAAAAAAAAAAAACTTTTGCTGATAATTTACTCACCCCCATGTCATCCAAGATGTCCATGACTTTCTTTCTTCAGTCGAAAAGAAATTAAGGTTTTTGATGAAAACAATCCAGGATTTTTCTCCATGTAATGCACTTCAATGGGAACCAAACGGTTCAAGGTCCAAAAGACACTTTCAGTGCAAACTGCAAACTGTTCAAAGGGCTTTAAACGACACCAGACGATGAATAAGTGTCTTATCAAGCGAAACGATCGCTCATTTAAAAATAAATAACAAAGTTTAAGTTTTAATAAGCACAAATGCTCGCCTTGCTCTGTTCTGTGATGATTCATCGAACTGAACAAATCTTTTTCGAGTCATGACTCGAAGGGTCCTTGATAAGACCCTTATTCATCGTCTGGTGTCGTTTAAAGCCCTTTGAAGCTGCACTGAAACTCTCATTTGGACCTTGAACCGTTTGGTTCCCATTGAAGTCCATTATATGGAGAAAATCCTGGAATGTTTTAATCAAAAACCTTAATTTCTTTTCGACTGAAGAAAGAAAGACATGAGTAAATTATCAGCAAAAGTTTTTTAAAAGTGAACTACTCCTTTAACTGTCACAAAAATATCTTGATGTTTTCTATGTTCATTTTAAAATGTAAAAAAATTTAATTATTCCTGTGATCAAAGCTGAGTGTTCAGTGACATCTTCTAATATGATGATTTGCTGTTCAAGAAACATTTATTATTATCATGTTGAAAACAGTTGCGTAATATTTAGTGGAAACATTTTGTTAAATACTAAATAAAAGTAGTAATTTCTTTAAAAAAAACAAACTTTTGAAGGGTAGTGTAAATAGTATGAAGACTAAAAGGCCCAATGAGTCTGTAATGCATACTAGTACCTGCACACTAACACAGCCTTGGAGTTTGAGTTGCAGCGTGATCATGTTAACCTCCTGATTAGAGCAGAGCTTAGCGAGTTCAACACTCCTCTCTCTCATCTCATCTATTGCCACATCGATCGGCTTCAGCTCCAAGTTCTTCTCTCCCACTACCTCGATGCGCTTCTTTACATAGGGAAATGTGTTGGCCGCTGCAGACACAAAAACAAACACACAGACACACGCATTTGAACCTCAACGGAGACAAACACCACCACTCAAACAAAAGATAGTTATCATGGTCTAATAATGGTAGATCTAGTCTTTGATCTACGCCAGACTGTCAAACAGTCACGGAGTTCCCCAACGCACCTGTTGTCGCCATTATTGATTGGTGCATGACAACAACTGAGGACAACTGAAAGGACTCATTATCTAAATGACAGGTTGCTCAAGTTGTCACACATGAGCGTGCCAGTTTAAAGAATAGTAACACTATTGGCCCATTGGGAACTTGTCATTGCCATTGTTCATACAAGACATACGTTTTTCCGAGTTGCATCAAATATTTACACTGATGTTATACAGTATTTGCCATTTAATTCGTGTTTTGAAAATGTAGCATGTAAACAATGATTATTAGGGTAACACATTGCAAAGTTTCAGGAGTGATAACTGCATTTAAATGTGAGAGTAAACGCCCTAAATTATCATTCCATGCATGTGTGGAGTTAGAGTCACTTAAGAAAACCAATGAAAGCAACTTTTTTGTGTTTTGTATTTTTAACTAAAACACTGACAGAAACACTGTGTTTAAATGTCATTAGCGACTTGTTGGTCAGTTCGGATCTGTACGCTCCTGTAAATGTCTGAAGTGTGTATGTCATGACAGGATTAAATAAAGCAATAAGCCCAGTGAAGCCGTAAGTTTAGAGCAGCTAAGGGGCAGATTTTAAATTCACTGTTAACTGTTAGCTTCACAGGGCTTATTGCGTTTATAAAATGGTTATAATTAGGGCTGTCAAGCGATTAATCGCGATTAATTGCATCCAAAATAAAAGTTTGTGTTTACATAATATATAATATATAGGGCTGTGCAAAAGTTAATTGCGATTAATCGCATCCAAAATAAAAGTCTGTGTTTACATAATATATTTGTGTGTGCTGTATATAATTATTTCGCATATATAAATACCTATGCATGCATGTACATATTGTGCTTAAATTCTGTATATATTTATAAATACATAATCTATATTCTATAAATATAAATATTTGATATATGAATAACACATTTTCTTAAATATATACATGCATGTGTGTGTATTTATATATATCAAATAATTATATACAGCACACACAAATATATTATGTAAACACAAACTTTTATTTTGGATACGATTAATCGCAATTAATTTTTGCACAGCCCTACTAATATATGTGGGTGTACTGTGTATATTTATTTTGTATATATATATATAAATACACACACACGATTGTATATATTTAAGAAATATTTCCATGTATATACTGTATATAATTTATATTATATATAAATATAAATATTTTATATATATATAAATACAATTTTTTTTCTTAAATATACATTTACATGTGTATTTATATATATAAAATAATTATACACAGTGCACCCACATATATTATGTAAACACAAACTTTTATTTTGGATGTGATTAATCGCGATTAATCGTTTGACAGCCCTATTTATAATAATTATGCTGTATAGACCTAATGTAGCCCCGCCCCCTTTTCAGCGCTGCGCTCGTTGTGTTCTCTCTTCCGGTTTGTATTTTCACCGCATGAGGGTAAGATCTTACGGATTTATGAATAAACTGCTTGTATAAGCGGCGCGTCACGTCAAAATTACGTCGACATCATATTTGTGCGTCGACACTTCTTAATTTATTTATTTTTTGCACGTTCTCGGCAGAACAGCTTGCTACGCACACATGTAGGAGACCGAAACATTGCAGATTAGATTAGATTAGTCGACTTATCGATAAAATAATCCCCAGCCCTATTTAAAACGAACAGTGTTTACTCGTTCTCCGTGTTAACTGGACTGAGAAAGTCCTGTTTATGCATCAACAAAACTCTTTTGACATCTCCTGGCTTTCATGAACACTACAGATTGTATTGTGCGCGGACTGTCGGATCAACAGAGGGTTATTAACAGAACAGTTACTGTATTGTAAGGCTATGTTTATCACTGAAAATGATATTGTACTTTATGTATTCGTTTTAACAGCACTATGGTAAAAATACTATTGCAACAGCCTTCTTTGTTGTACTTTCAGTTTCCCCCTTCTGTTTGGACTAAAACAGTGTAAATCATCCATAATCATTTGAAATTGACACTACAAACATGGAGGTTTTCCAGATTTTCCTTTGTGGCGGTGTTCTCTCCATATTTACGAGTGGGGCAGTTGTGGCCTAATGTTTAGAAAGGTTGTTGGTTTGATTCTCTATGCCAGCAGGAAATGACTGAGGTGCCCTTGAGCAAGACACCTAAAGCCCAATCACTCCCTGGGCGCCACAGCAAAATGGCTGCCCACTGCTCCAGGTGTGTCTCTACGGTTTGCAGTGTGCGTGTCTGTTTGTGAGTGTGTGTGTTCACTACTCACTTAATCTTAAAATAAGAAAACAAATTCTGAGTATGTGTTACCATAGTTGGCTTCCACATGTCACTTTTACTTTGCAGCAACTGCTTACAACATTCTGGATTCTTCATTTGAAACTGAAAACAACTCCAGCTAAACATTTACTCTCTGAATTCTTGCACCCAGTAGCAAAACAAGTCGACACCAAGTTTGCATTTCCTACTCAAGCAAGGCGGTATTTGATGACTGAGAGTGGTCTTGGATGGCAAAATGCCCAGTGCATTATGGGTGTTAAAGTTTTCCTATTTTTTTTTTTTTTTTGCAAAACGGAAGACAACAGCCCAATTTTTGATTTCTCTAGTCAGGTACCACAAATAAAGAAAATGTCCCACCTTTCTACCGCATAGGCTGCCATGTTTTATTGACAGCCCATTTTACCAGTGGTGAAGTTCCCCATTAAAGGAGTAGTTCACTTTAAAAAAAAAAAAACTTTTGCTGATACTTTTTCGTTTATAAAAATGAACAAATCTTTTTTCGTGTCATTTGTTTCATTCAACGAACGAAATGAACAAATTGACTCGGGAAAAGATTTGTTCATTTTGATGAACGAGTTCGAACGGGAGAGTCACGAACGCGCATCACAGAACAGAGCAAGGCGACCATTTGAGCTTATAAAACTAAAGCTTTGTTATTTTTTGTTTAAATGGACAATCGTTTCACTTGATAAGACCCTTATTCATCGCCTGACGTCGTTTAAAGCCCTTTGAACAGTTTGCAGTTTGCACTGAAACTGTCTTTTGAACCTTGAACCGTTTGGTTCCCATTGAAGTCTATAATATGGAGAAAAATCCTGGAATGTTTTCATCAAAAACCTAAATTTCTTTTAGACTGAAGAAGGAAAGACATGGACATCTTGGATGACATGGGGGTGAGTAAATTATAGTTGATTACTTAACACATATCAAAATCATGTATTATATGTTTTTGAAATTTGTATATTTAATTATGCAAATTATGCATTATCTCATTAAATATGCTCATATATTTTCAGTAGATAGATCTGAACATATGATAAAGCCAGGTGCAAAATGTTAAGGCTCTTAGTAATAATATATAATATATAATATTTCAACCTCATGATAGGCAGGCATATAAGGCCTAAAACTGAAATTCAATGAATTAACATTGGCAGAGTACACCATGTGACGCGTCTGAGCGAATCACGTTAGCAGAAACGAGCCGTAGCCAATTTCGTCATTAGCTTTAAATCACCCTTTGGACATTCACGATTGGTTTCTGATAGGAAGGAAATGCCCATATTTGGGTTACACAGCGTAGTTCAGGAGATTAAGAGCTTTACAACGATACCGGTCATGACAGACTTCAGGAAACAGACGGAGCGCGGCATGACGGGATGTGCTAAGTTCTTGGTAAATTCGTGAGTAAACAAATGTAATAAAAGAAACATCTTAATGTATACTTTTAACGTTTTCTTTATAGCTGCTTGAAAGAACACATATTGATGGAGTAAACTAGCCCAAAATCTCATTTAAAAAACAAAACAAAACAAAAAAAAATCGATGTTTTTGTCTGCCGTGTCTCGCCTTAAAGGATTAGTTCTCTTCAAAATGAGAATTATGTTATCATTTACTCGCCTTCAAGTTGACAGAACTTTCATTTTGACGTGAACTAATCCTTTAAGCACTAAAAGGTGAAGTGACAACCAAATCTGAATGTCTTGTGTATGTAGCCTAGATGTTGTTAAAAAAATAAACTGTAAGAGTTGAAAAAATGTTGGCAATCTCAAAAATATGATGCACTGGGACTGGGAGTGATGCCAGATCTCCTGCTGTCTGCGTGCTGCAAGCTTACTGGTAAGTACCGTCCTCCGCTTGCACTGCTCCTCAACTCCTCCTTGTTTCTTCCCCGTGAGTGTGAACGGAGTCTCAAAGACAAAGCGATTGATGTTATGGCACTTCTCGAAGTCCGTCTTCCTCTCCACCAGCTCTTTCTCATCAAAGAAGGGCTTGACATACGTGACCTGAATGTAGGCAAACTTTGGGTCCAGATCTTTCTGGTTAACCTGTTGGTAAAAAAAAAAAAGAGTTTACACGTGGCTCCTTTTATTTAAAGAGAGTGGGTTTACTATGAAATGGGTAAAATTTTAAATGTTAAATACTCAAAAATATGCAAGGACTGGAAGCTTTCAAATGTTTGTTCTTGGGATAAACAACTCTTTCCGGAATGATGACTCAGATGTGATGGTCATTTCGTCTCAATACAGGAAGCTGTGCAGTGAAATTTAAACTTCATAACTCACTTTGTTGGAGTCTTGGATGATTTTGACGTTTTCTGCTCCAAACTTTTCTCCGTAGAGGCTTGTGAGGCGATGGGAAATTTCAGGAAGCTTTGTGAGCTTTGGCTCTTTGTAAATGTACTCTTTTCCATCCTCTTCTTCAAAGAAGCCCTGAAGTCCCCAAAAAAGCATAATTGTTTTAGTTGCACGATTGACATGTTGCTCCAGCTGTATTATTGTGCTGTGTTATTATTGTGATACGTCTATTTTGACACTAATGTTCAAAAGTCTGGGGTCAGTAAGATAAAAAAAGAACACATTCATTCAACAAGGATGCATTCAATTAAAAAGTGACAGTAAAGACTATATAGTTTTCAACCAAAAGGTTTTCTTTTTTAATAAATGCTTTTCTTTTCAACTTTATTTTCATCAAATGATCACGAAGACACGAGTAATGATGCTGAAAATTCAGCTTTGCATCACAGGAATAAATTACATTTTAAAATGTATTAAAATAGAAAACACTTATTTTAAACTGTAATATTTTTCTAAATATGACTGTATTTTTTATCAAATAAAAGCAGCATTGGTGAACACATTTATTGAATAGACTTTTATCAAAAACATTTTAAAAAATGTTACCAAATCAAACTTTTGAACAGTGGTGTAAAAATGAGTTTCATGTGATAAAACATATTTCAGCTGCCAGACTCTAAAGAGATACACAATATCAATAGTTTACACAGGGAAGTCATTTTGGGAAGTGGGAGCAAAAAGCAAGTCAGATGTAAACAAGAATAAACTTGTGAACCTACCTGTCCATAAAAGGCGACTCTAAAGTAAGACCCCAGCAGACGTCGGCCAGACTTTATTACCTCTAATATCTTCGCATAAGCTCGCTGCAGTGTGTCATACAATCTCCTCAGTTTCTACCGGAGAAAGAGAGAAATAACAGCTCTGTCAGAGAACGTTTGAGAACTGCTAGCGTGTCATTATCATGCACTTTCTGTGCGGTTAAGTCGTGTAACTATTGCAGTTTTCAGCTTTTTTGCTTGAAACTGCTTCACTTTTGCACAATATGAATTGTGAAAAGCATAATGGAAATCAATTAAACTGACTGATTTAATTTATTAACATATTTATCAACAGGAAAAATGAGAGGTATAAGATAAAAGAGATGTAAGGAAGCCCTGAATCACATTGTAAAAAAAAAAAAAAAAAATCTGTAAAAAATTAATTAAAAATCTACCATTTCAAGATTAAAGTCTAAACATTTCGAGATTATAGTCTAAACATTTCAAGATTAAAGTGTAAACATTTCGAGATTAAAGTCTAAACATTTCGAGATTAAAGTCTAAGAAACATTTTGAGATTTAAAGTCGAAACATTTCAATTAAAGTCGAAACATTTCGAGATTTAAGTCAAAACATTTCAATTAAAGTCGAAACATTTCGAGATTAAAGTCTAAACATTTCGAGATTAAAGCCTAAACATTTCGAGATTTAAAGTCGAAACATTTCGAGATTTAAGTCAAAACATTTCAATTAAAGTCGAAACATTTCGAGATTAAAGTCTAAACATTTCGAGATTAAAGCCTAAACATTTCCAGATTAAAGTCGAAACATTTCGAGATTTAAGTCAAAACATTTCAATTAAAGTCGAAACATTTAGAGATTAAAGTCTAAACATTTCGAGATTAAAGTCTAAACATTTCGAGATTAAAGTCTAAGAAACATTTCGAGATTTAAAGTCGAAACATTTCGAGATTTAAGTCAAAACATTTCAATTAAAGTCGAAACATTTCGAGATTAAAGTCGAAACATTTCGAGATTAAAGCCTAAACATTTCGAGATTTAAAGTCGAAACATTTCGAGATTTAAGTCAAAACATTTCAATTAAAGTCGAAACATTTCGAGATTAAAGTCTAAACATTTCGAGATTAAAGCCTAAACATTTCCAGATTAAAGTCGAAACATTTACAGATTAAAGTCTAAACATTTCGAGATTAAAGTCGAAACATTTTGAGATTAAAGTCGAAAAATTTCAAGATTAAAGTCGAAACATTTTGAGAATAAAGTCGAAATATTTCAAGATTAAAGTCGAAACATTTCGAGATTAAAGTCGAAACATTTCGAGATTAAAGTCTAAACATTTCGAGATTAAAGTCTAAAAAATTTTAGATTAAAGTCGAAAAAATTTATGATTGAAGTCGAAACATTTCAAGATTAAAGTCGAAACATTTCAAGATTAAAGTCGAAACATTTTGAGATTACAGTTAAAACATTTCAAGATTTAAACATTTATTGTCTTCCGTAGAAGTTGCGTGTGTGCTTGCCATTGTTTCACATTGCCGCACACACAGGCATTCATAATGGTGCATAGTATAGCGAGTGTTTCACACACTGTTTGTGTGTGTGTTTTGTTTCAAAAAAAGGAAATTCAACAGGTGCCAATCTACCAGAATTAGGCTACAATTATAGGACGTTATAAAATATACTGCGCCGGAATAGACTTTAGCCTATAGGAAAACTAACCCGGAAAAACACTTTTCAGACTGGATGGAGATATCCAGCTTTATGAATGAATGAATGAATGAGGCATTTATGTAGCGCTTTCATATGTCTACTAGGCCTACACTTAAAGCGCTTTACAATCATATCAGAGAATCTCTCCTCGACCACCATTAGTGGTTATTAAATATGAGGAAATCGCGGGATCCGACCAAATGATTGGATACAGAATGATGCACTTAAAATGTATCCAGAACGTATTTACAGTGAGGGAGACAGAACAGATACTGTTGTGTTCTCGACCCAGATACTGTTGCCTAGACTAGTACCTGTGTAGGATTTTGTTGAAAGCCCAGATAAAAGTAAAAAGCTACTATTTTGAGTTGATCCATGGCAGTTTGACTTATAAGTGGATTTCTTTACACACACACATGCACACACGCTCTGAGCCAATGGACACGCACTGTTATGAATGCACAACATTTCTATGCAAGACTGTATTTATCTATTTTATTAAGACTTTAATGTAAAAATATTTGGACTTTAACCTTGAAATGCTAGATTTTTTTTTTTTTAAGTTGCGGTTCAGGGCTTTTGTGAAGATGGGGAACAAGAGCAGGAAATGAAAAGTCTGATGTGATGAGTGCATTAACCATTAGACTGCAGGACTGCAACTGTGTCATCTTTAAAGTGTGCAAACTTCAATAAGGATGTGTTTGTTAGCCTTATCTAAAGTCTCCTGTGTACAGTTTTCCCCAGAACTGTTAGAGTACTTTATTAGAGTAAAGAAAATTGGCATACGCAACAAAAAACATCAGTGGCACGTATGTTCCTACATGTTATAGTCAAATAAATCTTCCTGTCAGAATTTGTGGTGCCACCCATTTCCAAACATGACTTGGAAAAAGTGCCAAAACAAATTGTCAGTATGATCATACTATATTCATACATGGGTGTCATTTAAAATCAATGACATGGAAAATATCGAATTAAATACAAGCATTTCAAATAATTTCAAAACTGTTCATAACCAGTTTAAATAATGACTAGCGATGAGTTAAAAGTTCATTTGCACAAGGCAACGGTAGAAAAGAAACACAGGTTTTCATATTTGCTCACCTTTGTAAGCATAACATCCCCTAAACATTGGTTTAGTAAATAATGATATTTGATTTTACAGCTGGAACAGCTTATATCCATAAACACATATGAAGTCAGATAATTTAAAGACACATAGGGCCACTTAAATTGCTTTCAGTCCGATACAAAATATCATCATATCATCGCTGGACTAATTGTTTAAAGAATTTGTCAAATCAATAAATTTCACACACAGCTTTGTTGTTACTTAAAGGGCTAGCTCACCCCAAAATACCGCAAGACTTTCGTTTATCTTCGTAACATAAATCTGAGAGCTTTCTGTCCCTCCATTGGCTGTTCTCAGTTCTCAGATTTGAGCAAAAATTTCCTCATTTGTGTTTTGAAGATGAACGAAATTCTTAAAGGTTTAGAACGGCATGAGGGCGAGTAAATATTGACAGAAATTGTTTTATATTAGAGTGAACTATCCCTTTAATGGAATGAAATATCTCCACATGGTGCTTCAAAGTTTAGGATTTTGCAAACAAACCCCACACATACACATACAAAGTAAAAAAAATCTTTTTCATTTGTGAAGTGAAATCATCCTGTACTTTCTGTAGCCATTGTTTAGAAAGCCATTCACAAACACACTCTCCGACATGGAAACTTTCCCACAGTCATGAGAAGTCTTGCTTTGTTTGAAACAGTTCCCTCTTTCAAAATAGGCTGTGGCGTCAGCAGGTTTTTTCAGAAGATCCCACTCTTAAGTATCTATAATCACGCAGTCCCTACATATTTCTAAGGGTTTTTCCTGCAACATTAATTTTTCATACGTTTTTCTACGTTTTCCTCATTTAACCGAGAAGTGACAGTGAAACAGATTGAGGCTCTGTTCACTGAGCAGCTTCAGTTCCCTCACGTCCGGAGTGTGCATGTGCTTCCTGAGAGTTATTGAGTAAAGAGCTACTGTCTAATACAAAACCACAAGTGCCACAAAGTCTTCTACCCACAAGACTATTCAGAGAAAATGAAAGTTGGGAAACTTGTAGAAAAAAATAGTACATTTCTTTAAAGGAGTAGTTCACTTTTAAAAACACTTTTGCTGATAATTTACTCACCCCCATGTCATCCAAGATGCCCATGTCTTTCTTTCTTCAGTCGAAAAGAAATTAAGGTTTTCGATGAAAACGTTCCAGGATTTTTCTCCATATAATGGACTTCAATGGGAACCAAACGGTTCAAGGTCCAAAAGAGAGTTTCAGTGCAGCTTCAAAGGGCTTTAAACGATTCCAGACGATGAATAAGGGTCTTATCAAGTGAAACGATCGTCCACTAAATAAAAAAACAACAACAAAGTTTAAGTTTTATAAGCTCAAATGCTCGCCTTGCTCTGTTCTGTGATTAGCGTTCGTGACTCTCCTGTTCGAACTCGTTTATCAAAATGAACAAATCTTTTTTCATGTCATTTGGTTCATTCAATGAACGAAATGAACAAATTGACTTGGGAAAAGATTCGTTCATTTTGATGAACGAGTTCGAACAGGAGAGTCACAAACGCGCATCACAGAACAGAGCAAGGCGAGCATTTGAGCTTATAAAAGTTTTTTTTTTTAATTTGGGCGATCGTTTCGCTTGATAAGACCCTTATTCATCGTCTGGAATCGTTTAAAGCCCTTTGAAGCTGCACTGAGACCTTGAACCATTTGGTTCCCATTGAAGTCCATTATATGGAGAAAAATCCTGGAATGTTTTCATCAAAAACCTTAATTTCTTTTCGACTGAAGAAAGAAAGACATGGACATCTTGGATGACATGGGGGTGAGTAAATTATCAGCTAATTTTTTTTAAAAAAGTGAACTACTCCTTTAATATGCATTGCATAAGTGCATCATGTTTTTTACCTCAAACTTATGCCGTTTCTCGTAAACAGGAATTATGAGTCTCGCAATGTGTGTTATGAGTTCAAACCTCTCGGCTTTCCATAGACCCTCAACACACACCTCCAACTGCTCAACCAGGACATCCTGTTACAGAAGCACAGCGGAAGTTTCATAAACGCAACTTGTTCATCAAACATATTCTTAAAGGAGCCGTATGTAAGATGTATGCAAAAATGGTACTGCAATCACTTTCAAATGAATGTAGAGCGGTGTTAATTATCTTAGATATGTTTGTAGCTGCAGCTTTGGTAACTAGAGCAGAGCTGGCAACTCGGGTGCGCAACACTACTGATTTCGTAATTGGTAGATCGGTGAAGGGTGGAGCATCAGAACAAAACACAACCTGACAACATCAACATCAGTTGAGGGTTGCAACTTCACTTTTTAAATGACCGGACTACTGTCGTCAGTGATATAAGTATTTGAAATGAACATGATTTCTTAATGTCTAGGGACATATCAGGGTCATTTTATGATTATTTGAAATATATTTCTTACATACAGCTCCTTTAACAGGTTAAAAATCATTATGATGCCAACATGTTCTGTCTGGGTTTTTTTTTTTTTTTTTTTTTTGCATTGATAAAACCCTCCCAACGTCATTTACCTCAGTGTAGTACACATCTTGCATCCCTACATCTTCTTTCATAGCGCCTTCTTCATCAATGTTGTGGGTGATTCTCTTAAAAGCTGCCAGTCCACTCGGGAACAGCTCTGAAACAATAAGATAGCAGAATGTGTGTCACTATACTGAAAAAAAGATTAGCAAAACCTCTTTTTTTGTATACATTTTTGTATGCAGTCAAATGAATTGCATCTACCATAAAAATGTATATATATATATATAAATGAAGAGTTTATATGCAAAAGCCTCTAAGTGCCATTTGAAATTTTCTTCTAGAATGATCATTTTTATCAAGCTTGTATATTTAAGTTCAGTGATTTCACTTAAATGGCAATGATAATTACCTATTAATTGTTATTTAAGTGAAATCACTGAACTTAAATATACAAGTTTGATAAAAATCATCATTAAAGAAGAAAATTTCAAATGGCATTTAGAGGCTTTTGCATCTGAACTCTTCATATGTATATATACTGCTCAGCGAAAAAAAGTCACTATTTGGATCTAAATATGCAAATGTCCCCCTGTAGTCAATCAATTATGTTGAGTTTTTATCCCTTAAAACTCATCTTTGATCACCTAAATTACATATTTAAATATTTTTTGTCCTATCAGTCGAACAGTCCCAAACTCTAACTGATGGAGTGTGTAGCTTTTCATTTCTTAAACAAGCAACCATGTAGGAAGACACATTATGGCCATATTCCAGGATGACAATGTCAAGATTCATCAGCCTCAAATTGTTAAAGAATGGTTGTGAGGGAGCATGAAGAATCAGTATATCAGCATGAAGAAAATGCACAAATACAGTTTGGGACTACTTTAAAGTACATAATGCTATATTAAAGATGACTCATGAGAAGCTGATTACAAAATAATTACATCACTGTTGCCAACATATGACTTCTGAGAAACATAGAGCAGTCTTATCAACAATGTTATTTTTATCTCTGGTTTCTAGAAATGCAAATTTGTGGAACCTGCGACATGTTTTTAGTTTTGCATTGGCACAAAACTCTGAATTGCTAGCAGTTAATGAAACATGTACTATTTTAAAAAAACCTCACAAAACTTACTGCATACTCTAATATTATGACTAAAATGTAAAAAAGAAGAGAAAAAAGAACAGGTTTAATATGCTATCCATAATAGCTGTACATTCGTGATGCATTGTTTGAGACTTTGCATTGCCATTTGCATCGTGTACCTCACATTAGTTCTAAGAGAGTAGAGTGTTTGTCCAAGCAGGAGCGTTATTTGCATTGGGGAAATAAGGGAAAATCACACGAGCATAATGTGAGGTTCACGATGCAAATGGCAATGGCAGGAATTTATTGTTTTTGTCTTGTCCATCTATAATTGAAAAATGAGGTGGAAATGAAAATAACATTGTAATATGAGGTCTGATTTTAATCCAGCAATCAGTGTAAAGTCAAGTCTAAAGTTAGGGTTGATTTTTTTAGGACACAGTAATTTGAGGAAGAATGAATATGTTCCAAACAAGTGAGCATGAACCTTTGCAAACTTACTTTTCCTGTGCAAATACTCTGCCACCAATGCAGCAACATGAACGTTACACATAGCAGCCTGTGAAAATACAAGAGCGGAGAAATATCAGAGAAAATAAGGTTCACAGAACTAAGAAAACAAATCTCATACATAATGAACAGAATGAATCTTTACGTTTCCGTCCACCAATTATTATATATATATATAAAAAAAATGCTGAATAGGATTTTTGATTCGATAAGAAAACTACAATGGAAACACATTTCCCTTGATGCACAACAAAAGACTTTGCCTCAACAGTACATATGATTGGATAACTGCACTAACCAGTAGGGTTGGGTATCGTTTGAATTTGAACGATTCTGATTCCGATTCCGATTCCTTGTTTCGATTCCGGTTCCTAACGATTCTCGATTCCGATTCTTTTAAGAGGCAGGGTCAAAAAAGTTTAGCTTACCTTGCTAACCAACGGTCTTTCTGAAGGAAATAATCCTTTCTGAAGGAAATACTCCTTCTGTCACAAATATTCCTTTTGTCACAAATTTTGCATTTTGCCGAGATTTCGTTATTTTTAGAAAAGTGAAGCCACACTTTGGACCGCTGACGTAAGCTACTTATGTTCGACTCGCGCGGTTATACCAACACTTCCGGTAGACGCTTCTTCGTTGGTGTTGTTCAGCGGTTTCTTCTTCCGCTCGGCGGACTGTGAATATCGAAACTAGGAATCGAAATTTGAACTTTTGAACGATTCCGGGAAAAACGAAAAGTTAGTCTCGGTTCCAATCGATACTCGATTCTTGATACCCAACCCTACTGACCAGTGGACCAATCACATCGCAAAGCATCTCAAATGTTGGTTTGATCATTCTGAAAGCCAAAGTAAGTCATCAGAATGATTTGGTTTAATTCCCTCCCAGAAGCGTCTCACATAATTTTTCACAAACACCAGCATCCGAACACAAGAGAACATGACCGCGTTTATTGTGTTTCATTCATTCGCTCATCAAGTCATTTATGATTGAGGGAAAAAACACAGTTTGTTCCTCGATTGTGCTAAATTTTGTGCCAATTCTCTCAGGACGTGACTGAGTTTTCTTAAACACGTGGGATGGAAACGCTGATTTATTCGCAAATGTTTTAAACGATATTTAAATTTTGGATGGAAACCGCTAACGTCAACTTATTTAGCTATAGACGAATCCGGCGAAACTACCGGAAGTAAGCGGGCGCCATTACTGAGCTGTTGCTGGGTAGCGTTGCGCCATTGCCTCCTATTGTTTTAGTTGCAACTTGCGTCCACTGGAATAAACAGCCCGCGATTTACGACTGTCACTAACGTTACAACGTTAGCCCTTGTAAAATGTCGAGTGGGTAAACAGTTTCCGTTATAAATTGTTTCAATGGTGGCAGTAAAATTTACATTTTGAAGAGAAAACACTGTGAATACCCCGGGTCGACTGCCCCTGTCTGGTGCCGTACGGTTTACAGATTTCCTGGGCGAGTACAAGACGTGGACATTCGCGTATAATAACAATTATTTAATGACATGAGTAAAAAAAATATAATAAATATGTGATATAGTGATCAGCAAAATCTCCTCTCTTGCTATTTTTTCTATTCAATTTACATGCTATGGTCATTAAATGGCTTTCCTGAGCTAAATGTAACGTTATGTGACATATTTGTTTTCCTGCTGTTATATTGACCTCTTTCCATGGTTTAAAAACACGAATTGGTCGATATTATGTATACTTTCTAGCTGTAACGTTACCTTACCCTTGCCTGTTGCAATGTGAAAATGAGATAAATAATGGACACAAATGAAAAACATGAATTTGTTTATTTGATTTCATTCATTTATTTATTTATTGTTGCCAAATGGACAGATCTTTTTATAGTTTCCTCGTTAGCAAACGTTAGCCTAGCTAGCTTGCCAAGCTATTTTCATAAATAACGTTAATCTGTAAGATCGTTTGTACCTTCATCTGTGACTGGAGGCCACTGCAGTCACAGATCAAACCAACAAGTCATTCTGCCTGGCTGTAGCTGTCATCGAGGGTGAGTTCGCGTTTTCACCGAGGTTTGTTTACATACCGGTGCATGTCTATGCCTGTGTAACAGCTCAGTAATGGCGTCGCCACAAGATGGCAGCCTACACAGAACGCTCGTCGGATCCAAAAAAGCAATAAATTGTGTTCAGTACAAAATTTGGTCTATAAAGCACATATTCTTTTTAGTAAATATTAGGGCTGTCAGTTTAACACGTTATTAACGGTGTTAACGCAAACCCATTTTAACGGCGTCAATTTTTTATTGCGCGATTAACGGACTTTTTGGCCAAGCAAACTTTGTAGTTTTTTTTTTATATGCTTTTGCAACAGGACGCGGCATGCGTGACGCTGCGCTCTGAACCCATTCATTTCAATGGCTTGCGCCGCGCGAGGACGTTTTGTTGCTTCGTCGACCAAAGCGCAAGCGGATCTAGCTAGACCGGAAACAAAACAACAGGCACGCCACACACACTTGTTTGGGCTTGCGAGCCGGCCAAATAGTTGGTTAACGTTACGTTTTGAGTGGATGATGAGCGCGAGACACCGAAATGGACGCCAATAAGACTCTGAATGGAAAGTTTACTTTACTAAAAACTAGCCAAATGGTTCAATTGACAAGACCAAAGTGATCTGTGTGTTTTGTCGTTGTGAACTGAGCTATCATCATCATCGCAGCACGTCCAGTCTGAAATACCGCTTGATTGCCAAGCACACACACACACACACACACACACAGATGATGAGAATTTTCCGCCCCCTCATCAATATCAGGAATATTCACCCTTTTATTGATGGACAGTGTTACATTGAGATATTATTTGGTCCAAGTGAGACTGTTAATGTGAAATTGAACACAATATATGCCAATATTGTTAAAATAATGTGAGGAAAAAGAAATCAAGAGACATTTAGAATAGATAAAAATGTGCGATTAATCGCGAGTTAACTATGACATTAATGCGATTAAATATTTTATTCGTTTGACAGCACTAGTAAATATATATTGAAGAACATATACGTTGCATTTATAAGTTTTAGGCTATCCACGGCAGAAGGCACCACTGTTTCATAATCTTTTCCATACTTGGATGTATTCCCTGTTTGTGACCAAAATAGAAATATAATAAGAGAGCGTGGCCAGGAAGTGACCTTTAATAGAGTCCAGTTCCTGTTTTTCATTTTGTGGGGGATATATTTATACAAGGAATCAAACACGACTCCTGCTAACCTAAACATAATAGATTAAACCAATTTGTTAAATAATTCATGACACACGTAAACAGAACAAGTAAACAGCACTGAAAGTCTCTTGTGAACTATTGTTAAAAGACTGAGGCTTGATCGATGCTCAGTCGGGCAAAAGTGTTATTACAGGTGCTCATAATAATATAAAGGTTAAGCTGAACGTTATATAATAGTAATACCCTGGAATTAAATATGACTGATCTGTAGTTTTTGCTTAAAGGATTAGTTCACTTTTGAAAAAACTTTTGCTGATAATTTACTCACCCCCATGTCATCCAAGATGTCCATGTCTTTCTTTCCTCAGTCGAAAAGAAATTAAGGTTTTTGATGAAAACATTCCAGGATTTTTCTCCATATAATGGACTTCAATGGGAACCGGATGGTTCAAGGTCCAAAAGACAGTTAATAACAGTTTCAGATGCAGCTTCAAATGTCTTTAAACGATATCAGACGATGAATAAGGGTCTTATCATGCGAAACGATCGGTTATTTCAAAACTTATTCCAAAAATGTAACTTTTCTAAGGACAAATGCTAGCCTTGCTATATTCTCTGAGGCGCGTTTGTAACGTCAAGTAATACGTAATTACGTTCAAAAGGTCACGGGCGACGTAGCCAGAAGTAGAGAATCAAAATCATCCGACATCGTTGTTTTTCCTTTTAATTCCTTTTTTTGTAAATGGTGTTTGAGCTAGTTTGCCTGTTCAACTTGTAAACACTGACTCTGTACTTTCGGCTACGTCGCCCGTGACCTTTTGAACGTAATTACGTAATACGTGACGTTGCAAACGCGCCTCACAGAATAGAGCAAGGCTAGCATTTGTCCTTAGAAAAGTTACATTTTTGGAATAAGTTTTGAAATAACCGATCGTTTCGCATGATAAGACCCTTATTCATCGTCTGATATCGTTTAAAGACATTTGAAGCTGCATCTGAAACTGTTATTAACTGTCTTTTGGACCTTGAACCATCCGGTTCCCATTGAAGTCCATTATATGGAGAAAAATCCTGGAATGTTTTCATCAAAAACCTAAATTTCTTTTTGACTGAGGAAAGAAAGACATGGACATCTTGGATGACATGGGGGTGAGTAAATTATCAGCAAAAGTTTTTTCAAAAGTGAACTAATCCTTTAAGGAATTCCCCACACAGGGGGTCCAACACACAAAATGATAGAAGTTTTATATGTGTATTTATATGTTCACTGTGCATATGACAAAAAACGCTGTGACTTTATTTATTCTTTATCTCCAGACTCACTGTCAAGTTTTGGTCGGAAATACATAGTTTTGGTGAACTGATGCAAATGTATCGCTAATCAAATTTAAAGGGATAGTTCACTAACAGTTAACTAGAGCCATTGACCATTTTCCTACTATGGGAAGTCAATGGGACCAGTTAAAGGGATACTCCACTTTTTTTGAAATAGGCTCATTTTACAACTCCCCCAGAGTTAAACGTTTGAGTTTGACCGTTTTCGAATCCATCCAGCCGATTTTCTGATATTTAAAAGAATTTCAGTAACCAGACAGTTTCTGGTCTCATTGACTTTCATTCTATATTTTTTTCCTACTATGGAAGTCAATGAGACCAGAAACTGTCTGGTTACTGAAATTCTTCTAAATATCAGAAAATCGACTGAATTCATTCGAAAGCGGTAAAACCCAACTGTTTAACTCTGGGGAAGTGGTAAAATGAGCCAAATTTTCAAAAAAAAAAGGGGAGTATCCCTTTAAGTGTTTGGTTACTGACATTCTTCAAAATATCTTCCTTTGTGTTCAGCAGAAGAAAGTGAACAATTCCTTTAAGACTGAATGGAACAATGGATGACATTATTTTAAACATCTAAAAAACAAACATTGTGTGCATTTCCTGGGAAATTTTAATCGTAAAGCAGGCGTATGCGTACAGCTTCAGGGTGTGTTGAGGTGTAAAATTGGCTTCATGACAAATCATTGACATTTCACGCTAACTACATCCATGCACAATGTGTTGAACCCAAAACGAGTTCGACACGTACAAAGAATCTTTCCAGTTCATTTACACATGTACCAACTTACCTCAGAAAAGTCCCCGTTCTTACTGTGTGCTCGCGCCATGCTGTCCAGCCAGGTCCGCCTGAGCTCGGGAGTGCTGGCGTACGAGCGGGCGAGACTGTACTGCAGGTCGAGCAGCATTTCCGGGTCTTTCTCGTGCTCGCGCATCTGAGCGGTGGCCATTAAAACCGTACGAATTCTCATCGTCAGACCCTTCACTTCAGATGGAAACGTTGTGGTCTGGGGATACATATAGAGTTCATGTTATAAAAAACAGAAGCAAGAATGCCTGCGGTTTTGGTAAACTGATTATTATTGTAGGTGTTTTGGCATGTTCACGAGTCACATGACTCACAGCTTTCACAAGAATGCCATGTAGACTGTATTGTGTGCTGTATTGTAAGGGCAGGAATGGAGGCAAGAGTGTGTCATGAACGCCACCTGCGTGCCACAGCGGCTTTGCTCCATTCCCACAGCCCTCTGCATACCACATTCAGCTTTGTTAAAAGTATGTGCCATACCGGTCTCGGTCTGGAGTGATGACACAGCAAGATGAGAAAGGACCAGGCATGGACTTTGTTGTTGCGTTTTATTATGTTTCTGTTTAACTTTGCATTTGCTCGCAAAACCTTTGTGCAAAATATATGCTAGAGGACACAAATTGATTAACATTTAACATAATTTCTCCTCCCATCTCATATTTTTGTTCATCCTCATGTCCCTTTAGGGCCTCTGTAGACTGGAGACTAGGGTTGGGTATCGTTTGAATTTGAACGATTCTGATTCCGATTTTGATTCCTTGTTTCCATTCCGGTTCCTAACGATTCTCGATTCCGATTCTTTTAAGAGGCAGGGTCAAAAAAGTTTAGCTAACCTTGCTAACCAACGGCCTTTCTGAAGGAAATAATCCTTTCTGAAGGAAATACTCCTCTCACAAATACTCCTGTTGTCACAAATTTTGCATTTTGCCGAGATTTCGTTATTTTTAGAAAAGTGAAGCCACACTTTGGACCGCTGACGTAAGCTACTTATGTTCGACTCGCGCGGTTATACCAACACTTCCGGTAGACGCTTCTTCGTTGGTGTTGTTCAGCGGTTTCTTCTTCCGCTCGGCGGACTGTGAATATCGAAACTAGGAATCGAAATTTGAACTTTTGAACGATTCCGGGAAAAACGAAAAGTTAGTCCCGGTTCCAATCGATACTCGATTCTCGATACCCAACCCTACTGGAGACACTTTTGATTTTAGACAGTGGCTTTCAAAAAGTGGCCCCTAAATGAAAATGAGGGTATATACTGTAGGTAGTTTGACAAGTGGGCCACTTGTATTTAACATATTATATTTTAACATTAATATAATTTGTGAATTTATGTAAATCATGTTTTGTGTGTTATGTGTTATGTATAATGTTATGTATCTGTGTCTCGAATGCCAAAGACGAATTTCTCCATCAGGAGACAATAAAGGCTAATCCAATCCAATCCATGTGAGAGCAGATTTCAGCTAGCAAACTCTACTGCACCTTCATGACTTTATCACTGTTGGCAAAGTTGTTGATGATGGACAGTGAATCCTGGAAACGTGAGCTGCCGGTTAGCGCCACATCAGCGATAAGCTGGCTCACAGCGATGATGATCTAGCGGTCAGAACGGAAACAAGAAACAGAAAGAACATTGTTGAGTCACCCATGTCTCAGGGATTGCTTAAGTAAAGCACCTGACTCAGTCTTTCAGAAAATATGAAAGAAACTACGCTTTAAATTAACTAAAAGGATCATTTATTCCAGACAAATGTATTTATATATAGAAGATACATCTACAATACTCGTCTCCTCTCTCGGGGAACTGAGGTTACGATAGTAGCCGAGTAGTTCCCTTTTTCGAACGGCCACTATTAAGTTCACAATCAAACTTCTAACCGCTTGCTTAAAAAAACAAACAAACATTTTTTCACTTCAACTTCAAATACGTATATTAAATATCAGAAAATTACTTTTGATACTGAAAGGGATATTTTCGGTATGTTTTAGCTTACCTCAAGGGCATCCGAGATGTAGGTGTCTTTGCTTCCACAGTATTTTCAATTTTTATATTTTAAGGTCAAACCGTTTGTGTCTGTCAGTCATACAATGGAGGTCTATGGTCACCACCTCAAAGAGCGTGCACAGAGAAGTCCAAATTAAACATGATTTAATGACTCGTAAATGTAAGTACACATTGATGACCTAAGACACGAAACGAGCGGTTTGTGTGAGAAAACGAACAGTTTTTATATCGTTTTTACCTCTTTTATACTATTCGTTTTCTCGCTCGTTTCGTGTCTTAGGCCATCAATGTGTACTTACATTTATGAGTCATTAAATCATGTTTAATTTGGACTTCTCTGTGCATGCTCTTTGAGGTGGTGACCATAGACCTCCATTGTACGAGTGACAGACGAGAACGGTTTGACCTAAAAATATCAAAATTGAAGCTACTGCACGTGGAAACAAAGACAACTACATCTCGGATGCCCTTGAGGTAAGCTAAAACATACCAAAAATTAATTTCAAAGTGAACTATCCCTTTAAGTACAGTATATATCAGATATTTTAAGACTTTTACTTAACTTTAACGGTAACTTTCACTTCTACCAAAGTCTTTTTCTAGGACGATACTTGTACTTTTGCTCAAGTATTGCTTTTTACACTGAGGTATTCACAGAGTGAAAGTGTACAAATAAATAAATGCAATTTTAAAAATAGGTCTAAAGCATTGTAAATACATTGTGAAGGCAAAATATACTAACAAATGAGAACCTGTTTTCATTTATAATGAGGATACATGTGAAATGTATAGTATAAATCAAAAAAGTTTAGTTATTGCTTTGCATTGAGTATAAATGGTGCAGATTCCTTAAGACATGTGAGAGAGTGCAATTGAAAACGTCAAGTGAATGTGGCTCGACCTGTCTCATTGGAACAATGGGGATTTATTACGCTCTTACAACTACATCGCATGCTTAAAGGATTAGTTCACTTTCATTAGTTCGAATTCAAATTTCCTGATAATTTACTCACCCCCACGTCATCCAAGATGTTTAGGTCTTTCTTTCTTCAGTCGAAAAGAAATTAAGGGTTTTAACAAAAACATTCCAGGATTTTTCTCCATATAGTGGACTTCAATGGGGTCCAACGGGCTGAAAGTCTTCAAAGGGCTCTACACGATCCTGGTCTTATCTAACCAAACCATCAGTCATTTTCACAATAAACAAAAATATACATATAACCACAAATGCTCGTCTTGAACTAGCACTGCGACGCGGCGCACATTACGTAATCACGTTGAAAGGTCACGTGTTCCGAGTAGGACGGAAAACTCCATCTCATTAATTGTAATCGTA